GGCAGGGGGGTTGGACTAGATGACCCACAGAGGTCCCTTCCAACCCCTAACATTCTGTGATCTGTGAAGAGTATAAGCCTTAGTCTGAAGACCTCCGACAACCACCCAGGGATGCTAACAGACATGCATGAAAAACGTCAACACATGCTAATGAGTTCTCTGAAGAACCATGAATATGACAAGCATTTTTTTGGAATGTAATGAATATGTATGTTAACATGGCATAAATACCTAGTAATTGTGTCTTTTTGCATGCACATTTGGGTGGAGCTATCCCCTGTGCGTCCAGCACTGCAGTAAAGAATGCTTGCTTTCTAAAACTCCAAACTTATATTTTAGGGAGTGAATTGTTTTGCCACTTTCCGGTAACAGGTTAACTTCTCCCTGGAGTTATACCTGTCTTCCATGTGGATAGATTACCTGACCTGCTTTAAGGCATGTACGTATGCCGCATAAGCACAAAACACAGTATTGTGTACATAAACGACAGAAATGGATGCTTCCAGTTCTAATCTTAGCCTTGTCCTGGGCAGAGCCTTGCAAGGGCACTCCAGGCCTTCGAGGGACTAAACATTCACCTTTTGTCTAAAGCAATTCTCTGTTGACCACTTCTTTCCAGTTTCACTCCAACTGGAGCTCTCAGCTTTTTTCCAAACCGTAAACTGAGCCCTAGGAAAGACACAGCAGCTCTTCCCTGGACTATCAGTTCCTCAGGGGGATAGTCTTTCTGCAGCCCTTCGTTTCCTTTGGCAGCTCAACTCCAGCTGGAGCTCCGGCTTTTCCTTTCTCCCAGCCCTAAGCCTAAGCTCGTGACATGTCCAGAGCCTTAATATTGCCAGGAGAAGAATGCTTTTGGCAGCAATATTTCTCCTTTGCCAGCCCTTTTCCAGACCCATGCCAGCTGCGTATCAGGCTTTCTTGTTCTCTCAGTGCTAATGCTAATCCTAACCCCAGTTCGAGCTATGAGCCAGGCGCTCCTGAGGAACACAGTATTCTTCAGAGGAGAACTCTTTTGGCAGCCCTATGTTTGCTTTGGCAGCCCTTTTCCATCCCCACTCTAGCTACAGCTCTGAGGTTTCTTTCAGCCTTAACACTACGTATGGGCATGGTTCTTCACAGCCAAGAAAAACAAACTGAGAGAGCCTTGAGCAGGATCAAAGACAAATACAACAAAAAGTGCTGAATAGAGAATTAAGTACAGAAGTAGAATGAGAGTTACGGATACACTTTTGAGGACTGTGAGATTAGCCTGTCTGTATTTTGAAGCCCCCTTATTTAAACTATAAGAGGAAACAGAGTGAACTGCTAGTTCACAAAATGGAAGTCAGATAAGAGAGTTCAGATGTGGGAGAGGTCCAAAAGTGCACTAGCACTTAGGATCTTGAACAAGAATTTGAATGAGAAGAATGAAGCAGAAGAATTCACGACAGAAGGGTGGCAATCCCATCAGAGGGGGCCAAATCTAATGGAATGCAGGGTCTGATTCTTACTCACTCTGATGCTTGTTTGCTTTCCTTTGGAGCGAATGAAAATCCAGAGCTTTGAAGTCTGTTGCCCCGAGGTCTCCTATGACAGAAGATCTCCTACAACAGAAGAAAATATGCCAGTTTCAGGCCACAAATATATTGTTTATTTAGAGACTTCTAGTGTTTATTTCAGAGTTTGTAACACTCTATAATTGTTAGGTACTAAAGGATTCATTATAATAATTAATATTTAAATTTATAATTCAGTTATTAATAGTCATAATTTTTGCAAGGAATCAAACTTACCTCTTCTACTACAGCTTGTAATCATGTAAAAAAAGTCTCCTGGGACTTTCAAGTAAGATCCTTAATCCAGTTCTGTCCCAAATTGTTTCTTAAGTAGATAGTTTTGCCAGAAGCAACCCAAACCCACACAGGGCCCACACTGCAGCCAATTCAGGTGTTGAGGATTTTTCACAGAAACTTGCTGGCCAGCAGATACTCCTGTTCTACTAGACGGTCAACACATGTGAATGCCCTAGCTAGCAAAATCAGTGCATGAGTGGG